ACCTTCTAGAAAGTAACATTTAAGGTTGTGCTAAATATTCTTACTAAAAGAAAAACTTCTAGGAAGTAACATTTAAGGTTGTGCTAAATATTCTTGCTAAAAGAAAAACTTCTAGGAAGTAACATTTAAGGTTGTGCTAAATATTCTTGCTAAAAGCGTCCAAATAATTCATGTTTCTCTTCATTGGAGAAATGAAATGTACTTAAGCCTTCTGCTTGTAAAGACTACGTGCTCCAGGAAGCTCAGTAATGGGTTAGACCCAATTGAGTCGAAATTCCCACACACATTGCTAGAGTTTGCTTTGGCCAAAGAGCAGTTTCCAAGACGGGTCTTAAACGCTAACTACCCAAAGACATAAAACACGCCCTTCTCGCGTGCGCTCAGAGGCTCGCCGTGCTTCCTGACACAGGCCGCAGCAGCAACTGTCTCCCTCCACTCCCGTGACGCAGCCAGACACACGTCGCCAGCTCACCAGGCCTCCGCGCGAGCCTAGAGCCTACAGGCCTTCGGCCCAAGCGGTCAACGGAGGCGGTTGGTTAGTGGTTGAACTTAGGATTCTGGGTGCTTTGAGAAGGCACACACAGCCTCTGTTAGGAACCACGAGCCGTTCCAAGTCTCAGAAAGCCACAGGACGTGGTTCTACGCTGTCCTGTTGGGCCGCAGAGTCGACATGCGCTCGATGGCAGCAGACCTGTTGTCTGGGGTGCAGGGATGTGCTATCGGCAGCCCCTGTTTCTGTGAGATCTGGTGGGACTCCCGTGTCATGGAAGCAGGCGCTGACTCATGGCTTTGAGGGTCCCCTTGGAGACTAAGGGACTTCAATGAATGCATCCTCCCCGCACCCATCACGCATGCCTGACTCTGTAGTGGGTGGAAGATGCCAGAAGGAAGGTGTGCACCTGGGCGCATGACTGCTATAAGGAGCCATCCAAGAAGACAGCAGTGGTGGCCATGGGCGTGACTCTCCGAACGGCTCTCAGTGACTTCCAGGAGGAATCCTGGAGAGAGGCCGGGCAGTGTCTTGATCTCTCAGCATCGCCTCCAGTCAAGCACTGATCACCCACTTTGCATTTGTGGTGCAAAGACTTGACCTCACTGGGTCGGCGCCCCATGAGGTTCCTCTGGCTTTAGAGAACCACCAGTTCATGAGAACGCTGAAGACCGGGAGCCGCCTGGGAACCCCCGAGCTGGGTGATGGGTGACGAGGGGCTGGCTCTGAG